AGGGCGGGTCTCTACTGTGTGCACTCCCCCTTTGAGGCATCTGAACAGTGACAGTGATGACGCCTAATGTGCCAGTAACATGCCCGGCACTGTTCTTCACACTTCATATGTATTAAATCACTTACTGTTTTCATCCCATCTTACAGATGAGGAAACTAAGGCATGGAGAGGTCATACCACTGGCAAGGGGCAGAGCCAGGATTTGCCTTTGGCGTCAGTGTTGAGCAGCCCCCAGGAGGCTGGGTGCGGGGCCAGGAGCAAGGACTGTGGGACAGGGACAGGGTGGGGAACCCCAGGCCTAAGGGAGTAGGGGGTGGTGAGGAGGACTGCCTTTTCCAGGAGAGAGAGTGGGAGACACTTGTCTGAACGGCGGGTGCCGGCTGCCACCCTGGCCCAGGAAGGCCCTGCACTGAGCTCAGAATGCCTCAGCCCCCGTGCTATAACCATTTGTCCCAACTGCCTGCTCTCCTAGACCCTCTGCTTAGCCCTGTGGCCTCTACCATCCTGCCCATCTTCCCTTCCATTCTCCTGTTCCTGGCTTGGCCTCCTGGGGACCTGATGTGCATTGAAGCCTGGCTTGGAGTGAGGATGATGTGGCCAGTGCCGCCCACAGCCCCTGCCGACCTCCCTATCTGCCAGCACTCAGCAGTTGCACTGATAGCCTGGTGACACTGGCTGCCTGGGGCAGCCCTTCTGACGTTATCTTGGGTAGCTAATACATTTTTATAGGGCTGTGACTATCTCCTCGTCAGATGGTAAACCTCGGAGGGCTGGGACTGGGCCCTGTGCCCGGGCAGTCTCCATGGGCTGTTTCTACGTCTCCGAATCTGCTGCCCTTGCCTCATTAGTCATCTCCAGGTGCTGACAAATGGCCCTGCCCCTCTGTTGCTGCAGTAACTCCATCCACCCTGTTATTCACAGCACAGACTCTCCCAGGTTACTTAAAGGTTCTCATTTATGCCTGGATACAGAGCATTTTCTACCCGTGTCTCGTCTGGGAGAAATTTATAGGCAAGGGTGTTAGAGGAATGTCCATGTGGGAGAGAGCTTCAGGGACCACAGAGCAGTGGGCCGTCCGTGAGGCTGTGGGCAGGGCTGTGGACAGACCCCTGCCCTTTCCCCTGCTCATCAGGAAGCTCCTCTTGCTGTGGGGGACAGGGGGGCGGGCTTTGCTTAGTCAGGGTGCTCCCCACCCCATCCTCTGTCCAGGTGAGTGGGAGGGAGCAGGAGCAGTTAGGCCCAGGATGGCACTGTGCTGCACCCGAGAGGCACAGATTGACCGGAAGAGCAGGCGGAGAGGCCACTGGGGCCCCATCCCTGCTGCCTATCTCCTGCCTGCCATCCTCTTGTGGGTGGACTGGTCATTTCTAGAAGTTTGTTTTGGTTCTTTCTAAAATCTGCCTGTTTGTTTTCGTACTGGTGTTATTTTGTATGTGTGTATTGTCTCTGATGATTCTGTTACCGCAAGTCCTTGGGGGGTCTCAGCCTGCTGCGCGCTGTGTCTGACTCTTCTGATCTTTTTCAGATTGTGAGTTCATCTTCAGTGTGTGTGGGAGGTGTATATGTCCATGTCTGTTTGTGTGTGCCTATCTGTTTTATGTATCTGCTTGTACGTGTGTATGAGTGTGTCTGTGCGCACATGAGTGTGTATGTGCACACCTTGGCTGCTCAGTTTGGCTTTATGTCTAACTGCTCATCCCAGGTGCTTTAGATGTCACCAAACAGGGACCAAGTTTTCTGTTAATTTCCTGCCTTGGGAGTTTCCAAACTATGCAGGTAGCTCACACTTGAACCTGAACCCCATGGAAGACAGACCTATGCTATCAATTCTGAGGGAATGTTTGTTATTTTTTCCACAGAGCCCGGGCAAACTGCTCGATTGCATCTTTTGATGCTGGTGAATTTTCTCCCAGGCTCCCCTTATGCTGAGGGTACATCCCTGCCCAGACCCCAACTTTACGTGGGGTGGGGTCTCAGTTGTAGTCCCCTGCCTCTTCTGTGCCCGAGGCCTTGCTGTCCCCACATAGTGAAAGCCAAGGTCTCCAGGTTCCCACACAGTTCCCTCTTCCTTTCCGGCCTCACTCTCCTTCCTGCCCAGTGAACTTGGCTCTACTCACTGTATTTTAGGCAGTAACTCCGCGTGTTGGAGGTGGGGGCTGGGGGTTCCTGATACTCACTCTGCCATCGTCTCACTGTGGCTCCAGAGGGGCCTGAGAGATGAATTTGGCCACAGACTTGTGTCAATCAGTAGTTAAGCCCCTGTGGTTAAGAGTCAGCCGGACCTTCACCTGGTTCATACTTTGCCATGTTCCCCATGGTCTAGAAGGGTCTTCATTAAGAGTTCTTCTGTTGCCACCTTGGTCTGTGAGCCACCTAGGGGGATCCAGCGTCTCTGGTGCCACGGTCTAGGCTGGTGGCCTGTGCTCGCTGAGCTCCGACTGAGTGGCGTGGGAGCCTCATGTCAAGCATGAGGCTCAGTTTGGAGCATCCACTGCTCATGCCCCATCCATGAAAATCAGAAATGATACCAACTTTCATCTTTCCACAGGCCCCCTGAGCTACTGGGCTTGCCCCAGAACATGGGTGCCTTTGTGTGTCCACAGCCCAGGCCCCAGGTCCCAGACAGGGTCCTCGGAGGTACATGAGCAGAAAACATGGGCCCATTGCTTCCACCTGTTAACTGCCACTAGAGCACCAGTTTGTACTCATGTCATGTCAGAAGAGTCAATTTAAATCAAAAGTAGGTGCTAAAGTCCAATTTGAAGGAATTCAACCCCTCTAAAGTGACTTTCCTGAACATGATGTTTCCCTTCCTTATGGGTGTGTGGGATCGGGGAGCTGGGCTGCGATTTGCAGGTGAAAACCGGGTCAGCTGTTTCTCTGTTTGGTGCTTCTGTAAGCCATACCTTTTCTCTAGATTACTTTTTTGCTTAAATGAAGGCCAGGGCATACACTGAAGGCAGTTGGTACTGAGTGGATTACACGGTAGGGAAAGGCCTGCTGCTCAGACTGGCTGCAGGGAGGGAACCAACCGGCCCCATTGTCCTCGGGCTGTTGTAGAACATCCTGGTTTGTTCACCTGCTGTCCCTCTGCCTGTCTTCCCGAAAGCTGGCCGTTCCCAGTGTGGCCTGCGATCATGTGCCTGTCCCCATCCCCTGGAGAAGGGCCCTGTGGCTTCCTGGACCCGCTTCGGTCTGGCCAGGGCTGTGCCTGCCAACACTAAGGGGGCACCACGGCGCCTTGGCATGCTGGGCATCTCCCGCTCCCCGTGGGCCTGTGGTGCAGTGCTGGTGTCTGAGGCCCTGCGGTCTAGGCAGGGAGCAGAAGTGCTGCAGAGCTGGGGGCTGCCTGCAGGGGATCCATGGGGGTGCTGGCTGCACTGGAGAACATGCTGGGCCGTAGCCACACGCAGAGTGTGTGGGCTTGCTGCCCCATGGCCTCGGCCTCGAGCTGAGGTGGAAGTTGACGGCAGCACCTGGGTGCTCTCACTGTGAATGTGGGGCAGCGTGAATGGGGAATGTGTGGCTTTCCTCGCTTCCCTAGCAGTTCTTGAAATCCTTAATGTTGAGGAAATACTTCACTCAGAGATGCCCGATTATCCTGCAGGGTTTATAAAGCAAGTCTGAAAGCCAACAGGATATAGCAGCACTGTTCCTGCATGGCAGCTGTTTAATACCCAATCATGACAATTAGACATGATTTATGTTTACAGTGCCTGGAAGATTAGACTCCTCTATACACAGGCCTAGGACCTGCAGGGAGCGATTGCCACTTAACATGCCCGGGTGTCCTCAGGACGGGGGTAGTGGCACAGCCCTGTGGTTGGTCTCGCCTGTCCCCATGGTCAGTGGCTATGGTAGGGTCCACCTGGACCTGCTTTCTAGCCAAGGCCCCCAGAGGGCTGGGCCCACTGGAGGGGGTAAAGGCAGCCTCCCCCCACACTGACCCCTTCCCAGCCGGCTTCTACAAGGGGCGGGGTCCTTGGAGCACAGAGTCTCATGCCAAGGCAAGCCCCCATGCCCAGATCCTGGGGCATATGATGGGGGCACGCAAGGTCTGGTCTCTCCAGGGCTCTCGGCAGTGTGTCCTCCCAAGGGTTCAGCACAGCTAATGTGGTGTCGAGGTGACTGATCTGGTCCACCAGCCCCTGCAGCCATCTCCAGGCTCTGCCCCACGGAAAATGGGATGAGGCCCAGGCCTTTCCCAAGGCTGGCTCACCCTCTGCCCTTCCTCACACTCCTGGGCTTACAGGTTTCTGCTGACATCCTGTGCTCCTGACAGCCTCCTTTGGCTCTGTCTCTGGGCTCGGCCTAGGGCCAGCTGCTGGCTACCACCTCTCATCTTTCCCTCCAGGCCTGCGCTGCTCAGGGTGGGAGCTTGTCCAGGAGGTCAGCCAATTTGCTGCTTGTCCCAAGCAGGAGAAGCAGGGCCTGCCTCCAGACCCTGCCTCTCTCCACCTCCCTGGAGATATCCCTGCCCTGCTCCATCTGCACGAGGGCCTGTCCTCCAGCCCAGTGACTCCTGCCCTCCTTCCCCCACACCCCACCACAAGGTCAGGCACAGGGTCCCAGGTGAGTCCAGCACTGGGGCTGGAGGAGCTCACGTTCCTCCCTGACTGCGTCTAGCACCTCACTGTGGGGCAGGTTGTGGCCACTGGATGTAGGAATCGCAGGGAGATACTCCCTCTAGCCCTGCAGAAGTGGGTAGCCCCTGCCCCAGCCTGTCTTCCCACAGGGCCAGGTCTGTCCTCCTGATGGGCCTTGGGAGGCTGGGCAGCACCGTGGCATTGGAAGGGGTGAGCTGCTCTAGCCTTGCTCCCCTCCACACTGACCTCTGTGCTTCTGTGACTGTGGCTACCCTCAGCTCCAGGCTACAATCCTCACAGTCCCACGCTGGGAATCTCAGGCCTCCCTGCAGGTACACGGAGATTCCTGAAAATTTGCACTGGGGCGAGCATGCTCGCATGACTCCATCCTGACGTGTCTTCCTTCCTCTGCAGCCTCTTTGAGCACTACTGCTACTCGCGGGGTGGTATGCGCCACAGCTCCTACACCTGCATCTGTGGCAGGTGAGTGGGCTTCTGGCTGTGTGGGGGGCGGGTGGAGGAGGGTTATCACAGTAGGAGGTTGGGGGAAGTGAGATGCACCAGCTTAGATGCACCTCATCACTCCCATGCCGTACCTGTGCCTACCTAAGCTTAGAAATCACAGTCCCCTAAGGCTCCAGGGTGAAGGAGGGAGCCGACCTGTCTACTGCCATGCCTTCCCATCCCATCTCCTGGTGGCTTCTCCTCCTGGGTTGCTGCCGGCCCTCCTCACCCCCTCTACACAGGCACATGCCCAGCAAGTTGTGACAGCTCCTGCGTGCAGTAGGGATAGAAGGGGCTGTCAGTGCAGCAGAGTGTATGTGTGTGTCTGTGTCTGCATGTGCGTGGCAGTCGGTGTGGCTGTGTGGGGAACACCCCAGCATGGATTGGACTGGGCCTCTGTGGTGAGAAGTGTCACTGTAGGCGTCTTTGTGTGTGGCACATTGCTACTGGGGGCAGGAGTTTTGTGCATGTCACCTGCATGTGACCAAGTATGCTTGGCACAGGGTAGAAATGACCATGAATGTGGCCAGATGTGGTCTTCAGGGGTGTGCACAGCTCTGCACGTTGGTGTGTCTGCATGTCTGCGTGTCCTTGAGGAGCACATCCTCGCTTGGTGGCCCCTCATCTCCTGTCTCCCCCCATGCAGTACCCCCATGCTCTGCGCTTGGGTCAGAGGGGCTGGCCTCGGCCCTGCAAGGACAGAGCCGGCAGCTCTGCTGTTGTGCACGTCCTCGGCACATGAATAATACATGTGAACAGCTCACTCTTTGGAAATGTTCTTCTCTGGTGGATAGAGAGAAAAATCATTATTTCTACTTTTATGATTCCTGAGACTCCTGAACAGGGCCATAAATATTACACCCAGGTGGGGTGTTTCTTTTTTCCTTTGGACAGACATAAAAGTCCTGTTTTTCCTTAAAGGCATCTCTCATTAGGGAAGCACTCTGGACCAGAGGAGCAAGGGGCCCCGGGGGCCCTGTCGCCTGCTCCAGCAGGCCTGCATGGTGGCTGCTGACCCAGCCCTGGGCCTCTGCACCAGGCCTCCCTCAGCCACCAGGAAAGAAGGGCTTCCTGAGAGTCCCTTCTCCAGGCCCGAAGACCCTTGCTCCCCCATCAGGCCCACATGCCCACCCCCAGGGCTCCAGCCTGAGCATCACTCAGCCAGGGAAGCTCTGCAGGCTCTGTGATCCAAGAGGCTGGCTGCTATCACTGTGGCTGCAGGACACCAGGGCCACTGTGTCCCCTTCCCACTTCAGGCAGTGGGCCTGGTTCAGCACCCCCTGACTTCTGCCTGCAGGACAGGGAATGGGGTGCCAGCCCCACAGCCTGTTGGGTGAGGATGGGCTATTGACCTCCGTCTGGTACTCCGCAGTGGTGAGAACTCAGCTGTGCTGCACTATGGGCACGCCGGGGCCCCCAACGACCGGACCATCCAGGATGGAGACATGTGGTGAGTGAAGCCGGTCCCCAAGCTGCCCCTGCTCCCTGGCTGTGCATGTGAACGACAGGGCCACTGTGGGACTCAATCTCTGCCCTAAGAGCTGACCACAGTAGGTTCCAGGCCTGCTCTTTCTCTGCCAAGGCCACTGGCCTGCATTGTGCCTCCTCTCCTGGGTCCCAGAGGCCCCAGGAGAGGGGTGCAGGAGCCCCTGTGTTGAGGCACAATCTCAGAGGAAGGCCTGAATTGTCCCCCACTCTCTGCTCAGCACCCACCACACACACACACACACACACCTCTGTCTCAGTGCCAAGAGGGAGGGCCCCTCCGTCCAGAGAAGGGAAGACCCCTAGGGAACTTCCACCCTCTGAAACTTGCCAGCCTCAGCCATGGGACTCTGACGTAAGCGGCCATTAGTTCAGGAGGTCAGAGGTATAGTGCTGGACCCTCAAGGCTGTGTGCAAGGCCTTTATGAGCACAGTTTGATGTGCCCTCATGACAAAGCAGATGTGAGCAGCACCCTCAGCCTGCAACCCTCCAGGGATGCTCCCCTGTTGGCTCAGTTAAGGATCCTGTTCCTAGACCCCTTGTGGGTAGGGCTCGCACCTTTCTTGGGGGCTGCCCCGTGCCTGGGGAGGGGTCCACAGGTGCATCCCTGGACTGGCCCCTTCTCAGCTTATGGGCACTTGGCACTCCCCGCCTGTCCTCCCTACTGCCCGGATGTTGGGCAGGGCCAGTCCAGGCTGCTGTGCAGCTACTGAGAGCTGCCCTGAGGCCACAGGCTCTGCAGTACCACCCTGTCTTGGCCCTTAGGCATTTGCTGTCCTCAACGACTGACAGACAAGGTTGCACTGGCCCACCCTGTTCTTTGGTACCTTCCCCTCCTATCGCTGAGGCCCTGGGCAGGGCTCCCATAAGCCTACCTACAGCAGGGACATGGCCTCCTGTCGGGTCGTGCACCTTGCCCTGCTAGGCCCAGCGTCCAAGCTGAGTTCTGGTGATGCCTGCACACAGGCCAGGGCCCAGCCTCATGCAGGTGCAGCCCATCTCTGCCTGTGTCCCGGGGGTACCTAGCCCACATCCATCAGTGGGTATGAGCTGAGATTTGCCATGTCCTAAGCTGTCACTGCCAAGTGTTTTTGGAAATCCACCCAATCCCAGGGTACCCCTGCCACAGGGCATACCATGCACTGTGACCTGCTGCCATCTCCACTCACCCAGGGTTAGTAGCTGGCTGGGATGTTCTGGCTCAGGCCACTGTTGGCAGGAGCCCAGCCTAGTCTTCTGGGATGACACAAAGTCACTGAGCTCCCTCTCTGAGCATTCTGTCAGTGGAGGCAGCACACATCTCTCAGGACTGCATGGGCAGCAGAAGGAACATGTCAGGAGCACAGGTGCTAAGTTGATGTGCCCTCCCCACAGGGCCTGTTGAGAGCATGCAAAAGGGGACACCCAAAGTATGCATCGAGGCAGGCCAGTAGGACACCCTTCCAGGGTGCCTAGTGCCCCTCCTGGCACGGGCTGAGGGCGTGCAGTGTCCTTCCTGGGGCTTCCCCTGAGCCTGGCACCAGGGACATCTTTTTACATGGAATTTCTCGTGCAGATCCAAGGGGTGGGCATCTCATAAGCCTGCGCACACAGACTCCCTCCTTGTTTGGGTAAGGTACTGACATGGGTAGTGGGCGGTTGGGTAGGGGGTGGTGGCCCGGGTACAGAGCTAGCAGGATTAGGGAGGGTGCTGGCTGCATCCAACTTGGCTCAGCTGTAGACTAAGGAAAGGAGGGGCTCCTGCCCTCTGGGCCATGGCTGAGCCACTGGTGGCCCAGAGAGAGGCTACCTGGCATCTCCAGGAACTGTCACTTCCTGGAACCTTTCCTAATGCTCTTTGACTCTGCAGCCCATTCTGGCTGGGCCAAGAGGACCCAGTCCCTGGACAGAGGCAGAGACCCAGCCATACCAGAGGGTTTCCAGCTATCCTGAGGCAGCTCTGACCTGCTGGAAGGCTCTGTGGCTGGGCCATATGGCCATGAGTTTTTCTCCTCTTTGAGCTTGGCACACCCCAGAGGAAGTGGCTACTTCCCACTGTCCTCTGTATCTGCCCCAAAGAGGGTGTTCACTCCATTTTCATGGGCTGGTCCCAGCTGTGTTCCTGGGGTGGGGCCTGGCTGACAGAGGGCACGGCATAGATCAGGCCCCAGATGCTGTGGCCTCAACACCCCTGAGCAGCACGTGGCACCTGTACCTTCTGGTTGCAGCTTTAGAAACAGGAGTGACCTGAGAAATCCTACAGATGTTAATGCCAAGCCCAAATTGGTGATTTTATTTTTCTAGTGCTAACTTTGAAATGCAGCCAGTAGAATAATTATGAGTTTATTGTAGTCAATTTATTATGCAGCATTTAGAATAACATGTTTTGTTGGTTACCGCTACTGCCAGATTGCTGGTGGCGTTTATAATCCATTGTTTTATTGAAATTTATCTGCCGAGTGCCTACTGTGTTCAGTAAATAACAAATGAGTCTGGTATCCCAACATAAAAGCCACGATACTTCATCATGTGAAACCAAAATATGAGCATAGTGCAGAATTTTTTCTGAAACTGAGTGTCTCTCTGAGGAGACACTGTTCCATGTTCCCACCGGGGTGCTACACTCTGGGTCTCAACCCCTTGATGTTACATGAAAATGCCCCAGAGGTATTTCAACATTGAGTAATGGGGCTCCGTGGGGGCTAGAGCTGGGCCAGGGCAGTGAGGCTCTGCTGGCGTGGGGGCTGAGGGCACCAGCTCTTTCCATCCCTCTCCCTCCAGTCCCAGACATGCCCTCCCCCCCTCCAGCAGAGTGGACACTCTAGCCTCAGCTTCTCCGTCACTGGAGGTAGTACAGCACCCAGCTCTGGGAAGTGATAGCGCAGTGCTATGTGGAGCCTGGCACTGCGTGGCCATTTGTGGGTGCAGCACGGCAGCCATGCCCCGAGCCAAGTGGGGATGTGCTCTCGCACCTGTGCTCCGGGCCCTGAGGCCCATCTTCCAGCAGCTGACGTGCTGGAGACTGGAGGTGAACGCCCCCAGCAGGGCGAGGGCCACAGATAGCTCTTGAGTTCTGAAGCCTGCTTTCTCATGTTTCTAGCCCCCAAACTGTCCTCGGGGTGTGTGCCAGGTGGAATGTGAGGCCGGCGAGGCCCACCTCCCACTTCTCTGTCCTTCCAGTACCAGGAGCTTCCCTGGAGCTAAAAGCCATGGCCTTTGTCGGCCTCTGTCGACACCCTGTAGACTGGGGCCAGTAAGTTAGACACTCTGGTTCTTGCTGCACGTCAGACTCTCCCCCAAGTGCTGAGAAGAGTATTTTGAGGGCCACTCTATGCCTTGCCGGCTCCTTGGGCCCCTTCCCATTTCTCTTGGCTGAATGCTGCCCTGCTTGCTCTGCATGTATCCAAGGGTGGGGAACCGACCTTGGTGTGGCCACAGATCCCTGGGGCCTCCCCACTGGGCTGGTTCAGGACTGTGAGGCTTTTTAGGGCTTGGTTGGCTCTCAGGGTACCTCCCTCTGTGTTTGCTGGGGTTCACCATGAGCCCCCATCACCAAGTCACTGTCCTAAAGAGACCATTAGCTGTATATTGTTTTCATTTTTAAGGCAAGTAGGCAAGGCCCCCAAAGTGTGGTGCACTTGCTGGTAAATCCTTGTCCCATGCTTACACAAGGGCACTGTCCAAGGTCACTGGAGGCCCTTCCTAGTTGGGGGCCCAGAAGAACCTTCCTTACCAGGGGGTGTGATCACAGACGTGGCCGGGACCCTCTATCCCTGACCTTACCCTCTTCCAAGCCCTCATACACTGCCCATCCTCCCAGAGCTGGCTTGGGCTTTGGCAACCAGGGTCCCCATGGTGGGCAGAGATGCCGAGGGCTGATGCGCTGCCCGTGGGCCCCCATGGAGTGCCACTGTCCGTGTTTCAATGCACTGGGAAGCTGTGCACCCAAAGTTGGACCCACTCCTGTGCCGCACTGCCTGGTCTGGGGCTGGCCTTGGAGCACTCCCCTGCTCCCTGGGCCCATCAGCAGGCTCGCCCAGGGAGCAGAGGTGAGGCAGGGTCCTGGGGGTGCCTCCAGTGGGTTCTGATTTGGAAAATAGCTGGGACACCCATCCTCACCTGCTTCCCTCTTCCCTGTCCCACCACCTGACTAGGTGGCAGCAGGAGTGGCTCCTGGGCTGGGGTGCCTTGTGGCCCCTCTCAGCACATTCTGCAGCACCCATTAAAGATGCCCAGGCCTGGGTTGCCCAGCTGCAGGCAGGACGGCTGGTGGGTAGTGATCCGAGCTGCCCAGCACTGGCCAGAAGAGGGCAGCATTGTCTCAGCTGTGTGGGCCTGGCCTTGTCCCTACAGCAGTGGTCCTGTGTCGCCCCTAGGCCATGGGAGGGCACAGCCAGCCCAGTTAGAGGGGAGAAGCCTGTCCCAAATCCATGCTCAGTGTCATTGCTGGCTCCTCTTTCCCCATCGTGTCCCCTGGCCATGGGCACAGCAGCCTGAGCGCTGGCTCTAGCATGCCTTGCCCTGCTGACGGCAGAGGTGGGCACGCAGGTCGCGCTGACCAGAGCTCTACTTCTCTTTGCCCAGAGAGATAAGGGCAGCTGCTTTCCTGCCGGGAAGCCCTTAAAGTCACCCGAACTGTTGCTGGCGTGTCACCGGCACATGCAGCTGCTTGCACTGCCTGAGGCACAACCCAAGCCGAGGTGGCATCAGAGAAAAGGGCCACCTCTGAGCTGCCCGGTTTTTTCCTCCCACAAACGGAGACAGGTGTGAGGGCTCATGGCCAGGGCAGGCAATTCGCCGCCCAGCCCTGCTTTCCTGCCACCAGCGCACTTACCAGCGGCTCCTTCCTGCCCTTCTCTCCACGTGGTTCCCTGTCAGTTCCGCAGGTTTGATGTGGGCTAGATGTGAGTTTAAACTGCTGGGGAAGGTCACCCCCACTGCGCCCCCTCCATCCTGGGCCACTGTCATGGGCAGCAGCCTGCATCTCCATCACAGACATCCCAGCCCCTCCCCTGCAGCTGCGAGGTACCCATTGCTCACCCAGGGCCCCAGTAGCCACCTTGGCATCCCGGGGTTCTGTCCCAGCTGGCAGACAGCTGGGGTGAGGGGGTCCCCAAGCCCCACCTGCCTGCCGCCTGATGTCTCCATCAGCTTGAGAGAATGAGTGCCACATCCGGGGCTTGCTCCCCAGTGCCAAGCCCAGCCAGTCCCGTCCTGAGAATTTGATGGTCTTAAGGACATGCCTGGGCCTCAGGGCAAGAGAATGCTCTCAGGAGGCACAGGCCTGGCCAGCTGTCTGTGCAGACCAGTGGCCGTGACCTTCAGCATTCCTTCCCTGTTAGAGGCGCCCTTTACCTTCTAGCCCAGCACCAAGCACACAGAGAGGGGTTATAACCAGACACCCATCCCACGTGTTTTCTAACCATTCTGTTCAATTTGTTTATGCTTCTTACCAACACACCACTCAGTTGCCTTCACAACCCACAGTTTGAAAAGCCCCGGTCCAGACAGCCTGGGTGCTCGCAGACATCATGGGACACTGCTTACCAAAAAAGTGAAATGGAGCACATGCTCTGCGCGTGACGCCAACTCACTCCCTCCCCTGCAGAGGCTACGGCTCTGATGCCAGCCCTTGCCCACTGGGGTGGGCAGCTGCTGTGTCCCCCATACATACTGGGCCAGGTGCTGTGTAGTGTCCCTTCTGGGGACTTGGCCCCACACTGGTGCTGTGCTTCTCCCCACATCATCCCTAAAATGGTAACAGCAGTTCTTTCCAGACACACAGGAGGCCCCAACATTAGCCTGCACTGTACCAGGTGCGCAAGGATTGCTGACTCTGGGGGTGGGTTGCTTGGGCAACTTCATGTCAGCTGAGCCCCCAGCAGTAGCTGCCACGTGCCTGGATTGGGCTGCAGGGATAACCAGAAGGCAGTGGGGCGAGGCCCTCTCAGTGAGTCTGACCCAGGGCTCCGAGTGATGGCCTTTGCCCCACTGGTCACATCTGGGGCTCACTGTTCCACCTCAGGTCTGGATGGGAGCAGGCAGTGGCCGGTGCCCCTCGTCTGGAGGGGCTGCCCACCACAGCAGGTGGATGGGAAAGTGACCCATGTGTGCCTTTCACTGTCTCACACTGAGGTGCGAAGAGAAGCAGGAGGCTCCTGCTGCTCAGAAATCCCCAGCCTTGCCTGGAATACAGACAGATGGCTGCAAGTTGAGGTCTGAAATACTTTTGCCATAGTGACTAGGCCTCTGTAACTGCGCAAAGTCAGTCTTAGGTGAGAGGCAACTGAGAGGTGGGCTGAGATTCGGGAGATTAAAATGGAACCCCAAGCTGAATGCAAAGCAACCCAGTCTGAGCACTGTAGCATTTCACCAAAGCTCTTCCCAGGCCCCATACTACGGACCCAGCCATCTCAAAGGCCTTCTGCCTGTGGGCTGCCTGGTCCCTGCAGTGCGGCCCAGGGAGTTGAGGGAGGCCTGGGAGAGTCTGAGTGGGCCAGCAGTGGCAGGTAGCCCAGGCATGAGGCTGCCCAGGAAGAGCCAATGGAAGACAGAACCTCTCATCCCAGCCAGAAATAGAACCAGAAGAGCACGTGTGAGGGGTGAGACGCCAGCATATTGCTTGGAGATGTGTAATATCTCCCCAGATGTCTTAGATTAGCACACACATTCACTCGGCCAAAGATGGTAGGGTCCCTGGTGGGTGTCCCCAGGCAGTCAGGGAGGAGGGAGCCTACATTTTCTGTTGAGCCAAAGTATGACCGAATTCTCCATTTGTCAGTTTTGCATTCAGAGGATGGACAAAGTGGACACAGAGGAGTTGGAGGGAGATGATTTATAAAAGAGATGGCTCTCATCCCTGGATTCAGAGTGGCTTGAATCTAAGTAACTTATGCATGTAGGAACTCTGAGGGGGATTGAAAAAAAAAGAAAGAAAGAAAGAAAAGCAAAGGATAGGGAACTGAGAGCACGAAAATAGACATCAGCCCCGTGCCCGAGTGTCGCTGGGCAGGATGGAGCTGGCCGGCTGGGCGTACACTTCCTTCTCCAGAAGTGCATGATTTTAAAACAGACAATTACAGCTGAAGTCTTCTAGAATCTGAACGATAAAGCCAGGCTTGCCACGTAACTCCAAGCACCCACCATCCCATGTCCTCCCTGTGTTTCTGAGGAGCATCTGGAGAACTTGGTCAGGAGGCCTGTCTGCCTGGGGACAGACCTGCTGACGCTGCTCTGGATGACTCTGGTGTTCAGTGCGCTCTTGTGGACTTCCTGGTTTTTTAAATAGTTCGATTTCTGTTTTCCTTTGAGATCAGCACAGTCCAGTAGAACTTGCTGCCCTGCGGCTCCAGGTTGCCCTCTAATGTGGTGCCCCCAGGAATCTGTGCCCCCCACTCTCCCATCTCTGTCCTGTCTGCTCAGCCCATTCCTGGACGTTCTGAATCAGAAAACCACAAACCATTTTCCTTTGTTGCCTCTGAGGAGCACAAATGAAAACACTCTGCTCCCTGGGGGACACTGGGCCATGGCCCCACACAGTCATGCTCCCCATCCACTCCTGCCTGCACACCGGTCCTGAGTACACAGGCCAGCACCGTGGTGGGAGCCCCATTAAAAGGTGGAAAAACTGAGGACCTGAGGCCAACTGCCAGAAGCAGGACAGGAGAGCCCACTGCTAGGCTCTAGGCTGCTGATGGGCTTTGCTGGACTGGTGTTCAGAGCCACAGTTCCTCTGCAGTTTAGGGCTAAGATGTGCCCACCCTCCTGGCTAGCCCTGGGGGGCCTGTGCCCTGGCAGGAGGGAACCTGCAGGCAGCTGTTGGCCCAAATGCCCTGTTGCGTCTGGAGCCTCCAGGGGAGCAGATACCTGGGCATGTCTGCCTAGGGCCTGTTTCCTTGTCCTCAGCACCCCCACTAGGCTTAGGTGGGTCATGGCTAGTGAGGCCCAAGTCCCCCCATTGGCCTGCCCCAAGCAGGGTCCCTCAGAGTCTATGACTTTGACCAGCCTGAAGTTCCCCTGCCATGCAGGGGGTCTCTGGGAGACCCTTCCCCCACCCCCTGAGAATCACCTGAGGTGTTATCTGTTGCTTTTTGCACTGTTGACACTGTTTATGGTGTTTTGCAATCAGAAAAAGATTAGAAAGTGCCCGGCTTGGGACTTTGGATTCCAGCAAAATGACCGGGGATCCTGAGCATTCAAATTTTTCCTTTAAAAATGTTTCTGTGGAGTAGCTGGTGCTGCCTGTGAGGCCGTATGGCCTGACCCCTTTCTCCACTGGGTCTCTGCTCTGGCGTGTGGGAAGGGGGTCCCAGAGGCAGGAGCACAGGCGGCCTCTGGACTGTTTGTTGAGTGGCTGTGTTCACCATGGGAATCTAGGTTGGGGTGAGAGGCCTTTGCGGCGGCAGGCACAGCTCTGCCCCTAGACTCAGATTTGCCAGAACGGACCCCCCAGACTGACCCCCACAGGAAGCTGAGGGTGGAGCTGGGCACCAATCACAGAGGGCTTACCTCTCATCCCTGCCTGGCTCTGTGGCCATCCGGCCCTGAAGATGCAGCAGGACCCCAGGCCTGGGGCCAGACCAGTGTCCCTCCGTTGGTTTCATCACCATCAGCGCCGTGACTGGGCCACGAGCCTGTGAAGGGGCTGAGGGTGCTGGGAGGTACCCTCTTTGTGCCTGCTGGGGAGCAGCCAGCTGAGGTGCTTGGGTGGGACAGCATGTGAAGAGGTGCTCAGTCTGTGCACCCCTGCTCCTCTCATCCAGGGCACCGCTGTGAGTCACTCAGGGTGAGCCAAGCAGCCCTTTGCCGATCCTGTCGCATTCCACCATGGAGGGTGCACGGGGCGGGATTCTTCCCTGCTACTGACAAGTGGGGGCCCTGAGGCCAGGAGCCAGGGACCTCAGCCCCATGTGCACAGTCGGGCAGCGAGGGCAGGAGTGCAGCCTTCCTGGTTGCCTCCTGGCCCCTCTGCACCGGGCCCTGTCACGGGGTGTCCAGAGGGCAGGCCCAGCTAGGCCTATCCTCATGGCTCATGCCTGCCCGCTGTCCCAGGACTGTGCTGCCTCTGCTGGCTCACAGCCCCAGCTCTGGGGCCCTTCAGCGCCCCAACTTCACCCCTCCATCTGTCCCTGCTGGTCCCTGCCATGCCCCCTGGGATGCTGGGGTGCCTTGCTGGGTGTAAGGGCTGTCCTCTGCTGTGTCGTCTCTGCCCTCCCTCCAGGCCCTTGCAGAGCTCATCTATCCCATGTAGGAGGGAGAGGGATGCTTTCCTTTGGACATGGGAGCCCCAGAGCTGAAGCAGAGCCCCCGGCTGGGTTTCCCCTCAGGCACTGGGGCCTGTGAGAGCTGGGTGGTGTGGCTCAGCCCACCTTCTCTTTTGGGCAGGTGCGTCTGTCCCAAGGCCCCTGTCCAGCCCTGTGAGCCTTACCTCCTGGACTGCAGCCATGCCCTGTGTGGGTGGTGGGGAAGGACTGACAGGGTCTGCTGGAGTGCTCACATGGAGGTCGGGTGGTGGGTGAGGCCCGGGGACATCTCTGTCCCTCCCTCCTTATCCAGGTGAGTCCAGGGTATCCAGAGGCCTGGACAGCAGAGGCTGTGGAGGGCAGGGGTGTGTGTTGGGGTCAGGCCCCTCCCTGCAGCCTTCCCTGCTCTGGACACAGAGGTCTCCCAGGATGGCCTAGGGTCCTTTGTTGCTTATGCACCCTGAGGAGACACTGGGGTATGAGGCCCCAAAGTGCCACCTGCACTGGTCATGTGGTGAGGTTGGCCAGGCTCAGTACCCGGATGCATCCAGTGGGAGGGAAGTGTGGGGTGGGGAATGATACCTCTTGCCCTCCTGTCCCTGCAGCCTGTTCGACATGGGCGGGGAGTATTACTGCTTCTCTTCTGACATCACGTGCTCCTTTCCTGCCAATGGCAAGTTCACCGAAGACCAGAAGGCCATCTACCAGGCAGTGCTGCGGAGCTGCCGCGCCGTCATGAGTGCCATGAAGCCAGGTGAGGGCCCAGGCGGCAGGACCACATGGGGATGCGGCTGGCTGTGTGGCTGGCGTCTCTGAGATGCAGGCTGTGCACTGTACCGTCGGTATCTCTCTTCCTGTCACATGCTTGGCCGGGAACACTCTGTATCGTGCTGGGTCCCTGGGGCCACTTCTGGGAAAGCTGACCACCAAGCAGGAGCAGAGCTGGGAATTGGGGAGCTCAGCCCAGGGTCACCCTCAGTCCCATCTGACCCTCTCCACCTGTAAGTCCCCAGCTCACATTGGCTACTGGGATGTCACCATGTCCCCTGCCCTGTCCCAAAACACAGTCCAATCCAGAGAGGGTGTGAGCAGCTCTGGACACTGGCATCTAGTCGGACATGGGAATGAATGCCCTCTTGTTTGGGCCGGCAGGTGCAGCTGGGTTTGGCAGGGCCAGTGTCCAGAGGAGTGATGCGTGGAGGGCAGAGCCATCTGAGGACCTGGCCCTGACAGGCCTCGAAGGCTAGACTCTGTGTTCATATGGAAACGGGGACCAGGGCAATCATTGCACCCCTCTGTGGAGCCTTTATTTAGAAAAGAAAAAGAAGAAAAGGTCCCACGTTCCACAGCTATAAAAGCCCCTGTGGCCCACAGCCAGTTGTTGGGATGAGTTACGTCCGTGGTCCCCAGGAGAATGGATGCTTTTGAGAGGTCCTCAGCAGCTAATGCTTTCAGATACAAACTATGGGCAGCCTTTCTGGATGGCCCCCTGTCTAGCCCCAAGAGCCCCTGTTAGAGGTTAGGGAGCCATGGAGGGCACCGGGGTAGGGGTGGGGGGTGATGCCAGGCCCCAACCCCACACCCTCACTTGCCCAGCAAGAACAGCTTGCTGACCAGATGCATCCCACGACAGGGACCAGGATATGCCCTTGAAGGAAGACAAGGAAGGAAAACCTGGAAGTTGATCTGGTGGGATGACAAGGTGATGGGCATTGCCTGATTTAGCATCTGCAGAAGAAAACAGCATTTGTGCTAATTATTTGTTTAAAAAGCAGCTGCTTCCCCAAAGTATTAATATGGAAAACCTGTGCATGAGAACAGAAAAGTGTAGGATGGGGTGGCCAGTGGCCCCCCTCTGTGTCAAAGAAGAGGGAGTGAGAACATGGATCCACAGGCTTTTTAAAAATCCACATGGAGGTGCAAGAAAACAGCTGAAGGGATGGGCTGGGCCTTGCGAGCAGGGAGATTGCTCTCTGGGAGCCCTTTTATACTTTCTGACCTTTCAGCCATGGAACGCATCACCTGTCACCTGTGGAATCCAGCCTCTATGAAGACATCCATCTCCCTGAGCGAGGGGCACATCTGCCTCCCCCATTTACGCCCTCCCTTACACCAGGCAAGAGAACTGTGCTCAGTTCTGAGCATCAGCCATTTAAATAAGTACTTCAGATGCAGTGAAAGGCTTTGGCTGGTGTGAGCGGGCTGTGGGTGCCGTCGAGTGTCTGCAGGCTCGGCCCCCTAGGAAAGCTTTCCACAGGGCACAGTCTGTGTGCGGGCCAGGCTCTCTCCCCACGCTGCACACTCTGCAAGGGCACCAGGCAGTGTCATCACATCGGCTGAGCAAACTGTCACCTTTCCCTCCTGGGGACTCTTCACCCATGCTTGGCAGTTGTGACATTAGATGTCCCAGAGGCCCAGGTGCCTGGCTGGAAGGGGCTGGTGCCAAGCTCTGCTCCCTGTGAGCCCCGTGGCCTCCATGCCCTGGGCAGGTCTCCAGGAGTGGAGAGTGGGCCTGCTTGGTCCCAAGCCTGCTGTCAGGCCACAGTACAGCAGGATGGAGGGCTTTCTGCCACTTCACAGCAGACACGTCAGGGCAGGCAGAGTAAGGCCGAGGCATGGTTGGGGGCTAGGGGTAAAGGGGGGGATCATTGGTGGGATGGTGGGTAAGTGGGGCTTTGGAAGGGCATCTCCTGGAGCTCTGCTCACCTCCAGCTCCCGGCTTCAAGCTCCTGGCACTGCTTAGCCCCAACCCAGTGCTGAGTCAGGTGGTGGCCAAGCCCTGGCAGACCCCACCTGTCACCCACGTACCCACAGTGGGGCCTGGGCAGGACCTGACCTGGGTGGTGCCTGCCCAGCTGGTGTCCTAGTCAGTCAGCCAACAGAGCAACCTCAGTTCTGCCTAGAAAGGGGCCAGGCCCACAGGCAAGTCCCCAGGGCCCCACACTTCCTGAGAGAGGCCTGTGCTCAGTCCCAGCACTCACCTGGTCACCCCAGTCCCATGGGGCTGCCTGGCTATACCACTCTTGGGGCGGACATGGGGCCTCAGGCCTAGCTGGCTAAGATCGGCTGAGCTGGTCTCTGCAGACTGTATGGGGCAGTCCTCCCCCAGCACGTGATGGGGCACAGGCTAGGCTTGTGCTGGGGCCTCATGGTTCCCTTATGTGGGGGATAGAGCAGAACTCCCCCAGTACCCTCTCCTGTCTAGTACCCATACAGCAAGATTGAGACATGCTGACAGTTACCCAAAGTGTTGAGCCTAACTCCCTCGGGTCCCATGTAATGCAGGCCTGTCAGGGCAGGGGTCCTTGTGTCCACAGAGCTGCTGTGAGATGGGAGCGGGCGCCTCCCCATAGCATCAAGGAGGCTGGGGCCAGGTCACCCCATGCCCTGCCCTAGCGGAAATGCCCCTGGTTTGTGGGTTTGGCTCCTGGGCCAAAACAAACAGCCACTGAGACTGCTCGACTGCTTCCTGTGGCCTTCCAGGGAAGAGTAAAGATGGTGGGGTCACAGCAAGATGGCCAGAGGAGAGGCAGGGACGAATGATCAGAAGTATGGTTGAGGAGTTGAGGAAGGCAGGCTTTGGCCCCGAGGCCTGGGGTGAGAGGGGGAGCATCCCTCACTGTCAGCCAGCTAGGGAAGGTGCTCACTCAGAGGAAGCATGTTGGTGGGCCAGCTCCTCTGTCCTAGGGCCAAGGTGGACCAGGTAGCTGTGGCACCTGGGAGGATGTCCCCTATGTTGGCCTCACAGGAGGGTCCTGGACACTGAGGCTGCGCACTATTTTGTGGCTGGAATTAGAGCTCTCCATGGCCGCTGTGTCAGGGCAAGCAGACTGCCCTGTCTCCGTGGCACCAGGGAGTATGCTAGTGGGATGAGGTCCCTCCTGCAAGGAGGAGCCATGGTGAGGGCTGGGGCGAGCCTGGCAGCAGGTACCTGGCTGCAGCAGCAGGCCCCCTGCAGCTCCTGTGTCTCCAGCCGCCTTGGAGCACTGAGGTCATCTGTCCACACTCGGGCCTCCTGCAGCCTCACTGTCACTGACCAGCACCCACACTCCTCCCTCCTCCTCCTTGCTCGCCTGCCCACCTTGGCCTCCCTTGCCTAGGCTGCAGGGCCTGCCCTCCTGAGCCCCCACCCCACCAGAGCCCCCACAGAGGTAGTACAGACTGCACATTCAACTCTAGGGACACCACCACTCCTGGTTGTGAAAAGCAGCTATGTCTGGGTCTACACACACGACCCATGGAGTTGTGTGCAGCTTCCCCCACTTCTGGCTCTGCCCCTGGTGTCAGGGTCCCAGCCATTTGGCAGGGGGTAAGGGGTGGCAACCAGCCAATGTGAAGTCAGAAGGAGAGACTCTTGCTGGGAAGTGCCCCTACCCCCAAAGTGGTCTAGATGGCAGGAGGGCACTGTGAGAGCCGTCAGGTGACCAGGTAGGAGAAAGGGACCTGGAGCTGCACTGGCCCACCGTGTGTCTGGTGTGGCCCTTGGTCAGGGTGCCTTGGCGGGCTCTACCTCCCTCCCTGGCAGGGCAGGGGCAGGGCCTGGAGTCTCTGGACTCCCCTGAGGCTTCTTAGAAATGGTGAGGAATGCAGGGGTCCAGCAGACAGAGGTACTACCCAGACCATGGGTGTCCTCTGTGGCAGGCGCTGGAGCAGGGAGGGCTGTACTGAGTGAAGGCCCTGTGTTCCCCCTCTGGCCTGAGAGGCCCCACTGCTAGCTCTGGGAGGGTGGGCGAGTTCCCACCCCCCCTGGCCTCGCTTGCTCCTTCAGGGCTCTCTGCCAGGGTGTTGGGGGAGGGACCACACAGGGACTGGATGAGGCAGCCATGCTCAACTCAGCACTGAGGCCCCTGCAGCCCCGGCGCATGCTGCCCCCTGCCCTTATGCAGGGTGAATGGGTCCCTGGAGGGCCTGGCAGCATACGGGGCTCTGTGGTGAGGTAGGCTGGAAGCCCTCTGCCCCGTGCCACTTCAGCCAGCCAGGCAGCTCCCTGCAGCCCATGGGCCCTGACCTGGGACCCCGGCCCTGGGCCTTCCCGCCTGCACCCCCAGGGCCTGGTGACACCTGTCCCCTGAGGGCCATTGTCTTTGATGAAGTGAGTTCTTTGTCTGGATGTAGCTGTGAGGATGCAGCTCATGGCCCTCTGCTGCCTTCCTGGCTGGGCTCAGGTCTCATAGCCCCCAAGGCTGTCATGCTCTGGGCAGAAGGTCTCAAGGCTATGATGGATACAGTGAAGGCTCTGAGAAGCTAGCCTAGACTGTAGGCCCAACAGGCTCCCTGCCCATCAGAGGAAGGTGAGGCCTCAGGGGGACCAGGTGGTCACAGAAGACCAGCTGATGACGTGGATCTGCTCTGGATACACACTGGGGCCTGGACACCTGGGCTCTAGTCCCTCTGAGCCAACAGGCAGATGGGCAGGGGGCAAAACCAGATGCTACCATGCCATCCTGGGATCTGAGTGCAGAGAGTGGATGGGGGACTTGCCCAAATCATCTGCCTGTGAGGTCCCAGCACTGGCTGCAGGAGAGCCCTGAGGCAGGCTGGAGCTCCATTTAGACCACCCATTTACCAGGCCTGAGCAGGACACAGGCCCCGCCCTGTCAGGGCTTAGAGGCTGTGACCAGCTATGGCTATGCCGGCGTGCTGTCCTGGCAAGGAGGAGTTCTGATGGCATAGGAAGGGGCAGTCAGGGAGGGCTTCTTGAAGAAAGCCTCAGCACAGACCCACAGGAGACATGAGAATGAGTCTGCGAAGGTGAGAGCCTTGGGATGGTCCCAGCTAGGGAACAGTAAATGGTAGTCCTGGGAGTGGGTGGGGGGTGAGACTGAAAAGGGAGGGCAGGCTGAGGAACTCGGGGCTCCCTCCTCAGGGCAGAGACCACCCCATGTTGTAAAGAGGTGGCCCCGGTAACCCTGCTTCATGCAGGATGCAGTGGAGGATGAGGCACAGCCAGGGCTGGGGAGGAAACTAGGCCGGGATCTGGGAGGGTCAGGCACCCATGAAGGTTCCTAGGCTCAGATGTTCTGGAGGACACATGACAAGCTTTGGTGCTTGCTGGGGGCTCGAGGGAAGGCTGGGCAGCTGATGTCCAGTCTCTGCAGTATGGCATCCCTGGTACCAGCAAGACCGCTGATGCATTCTGGCTGTGATGGGGGAGCCTGGAGTCCGGAGGCAGGCCTTGCCCTCCGTGGGCTGGGCCTAGGCAGCTGGGAGGTCCTCTGGTTTGTGCCCACCCTGCAGCCTAGCCCAAGGACAGTAACCTTCACACACTTGAGGGCCCCTGCCCTGGTCGTGGGTGTCGTAACCACCATCCAAGCCAGATGCCGGGGCCAAGTTGCTGGAGGTTTAATCACTGTCACAACCCTAACCACGCACAGGCAGAAATCCCGACTCCCAGCTAAGAGAGCTGTGTGCAAGGCCTTGCCCAAGGGCGTGCAGGCGAGGAAGACTGGAGGCGCCACGGGGACCGCCTGGGCCCGCGTGTCCGGCCCCACGAGGACAGGAGCGGAGCCGAGCTGCCAGTGCGGAGCATGATTTATACCTGATCCTATCCTCGGCCGAAGCTGGCTGAGACCACAGCCCCACTGTGGAAGGTAGCCAGGCTGGAAGTCAGGCCAATTCCCGGGGCTCTCCTTTGGCCACCAGACAAAGGCCTGCCTGAGGGAAATGGAATTGCACTAGAGTTGGGGCATCAGCCACCGCACTGGACACCATTCCTCAGGGGCCAGGCTGACTGGGACAGCTGAGTTTGCAGGGTTCCTTGGGGGGCATTTTTAAGTGGGAGCCGGCTGCAGGGAAGCAGTCTGCACGTTCATCCCTGAATTGGCCGGGCCCTGGTGTCCAGGGGAGGCCACCACTCTTCTGGTGGGGATACACAAGAAGCAAGTAAGCAGACCTGTTGGGCCAGGGTACGAGGTGAGAGCTGCCAGGAGAGAAATAGCCAGGACAGTGGAGAATGCCCGGACAGGGCTCCCTGGGGCGCTGAATTATTATGCTGAGGCCCCAGTGATAAGGAGTCCCAGGCCCAGCCAGGTCCGCAGAGGGCCTGAAGCAGAGAGACCTCAGTGTGCTTCTGGAACAGAGGTGGCCTGCCTTGGGGAGGGCGAGGCGGGATGGGTAGGTCTCAGAGAAGAACAGTGGACTGAGGCTGGGGCAGGCTTGGCTTGTGCCGAAGGACCACAGTGAAATCAAGTGTTGAACCAGGGTTTGGCTGGCTGCAAGTGACGGGTGAATAGTGGCTTACTGACAGTTTGGGGGAGGAGACCAACCTGATCTCCCTGTAGATGTCAGAGCCTTTGTGGCAGCTCTCTAGGGCCAGTGTAGTGGCCCTGTCTGACAGAGACATCTGAGGCTCAAGAGGTGAAAGCTGGCCCAGGTCACCCAGCAGGTGAGCAGTCACGCTGTGGTCTGGTGCCGTTTCCACTGCCAGATGTCATACCATTAGAACAACCTCCCCCCGCCACCAGCTCCGCCTTTGGAGGTGTGGACTGGACTGGGCTCTACCCTGATGCTGCTGTGGCCATAGCCAGGCTCTAGACCCTCATGGCTATGGATATCAGGGTATCTTTCCCTCATGGGCCCTGATGGGTAGCACAAGGCTGGACTCAGAGCTGGACAAGAAGGCGATCTCCAAGGCTAAGGATAGATCCGGGCCTCTTCCACCCCCAGCCTCCCTGCACCTTGGTTCACATGCTGGCCACTGCCCTGTGAACTATCCAGGGCATAGCCCCATGTACCTGCTTGGAGGCTGGATCGGCCCTGAGCCTCCACCCAAACAAGGACCCCAACTCTGGGGCCCATGTGGGGGACTGGTGCCCAGTGAGCCTGTCTGAGAGGTGATGGCCTGTGTCCCAGGTGTCCCAGGCTCTCATTTATTTCTACCTGAGCCCATCTGCCCTCTGCTAGCCACGGAGGTTCAGAGCCGTAAGCCCAGATCCTGGTGGCCCAGGCCTTGCCAGTGCAGGATCCACTGAGGCCCCTCACAGTCAGAAGCCCTATGCCCCTTCTTGCAACAGTGGCCATCAGTGAAGGATGAGGGGGCAGGGCCTGGCAGTTGGGGAGGTCCCTTGGTAGCCAGGGTTGCTCCCCACATGTAGGGGCTGCAGAGACCAGCACTGGCCATCCTCTCTGGCCAGAGCACTGCACAGGATATAGGCCCCCACCCTGTCTGCCTGGCCTCATGTGTCCTGGGGCCACTGCCCTCAGCTGCACGTGGCCTGCCCCAAACTCAACCCTTGTGGGATGGCACAGAAGCTTTGCCAGCCTAGGGCCTTATCTGGTGCTTAGGCTGAGCACCCAGTGCCCTTGAGCCAAACTGAAGGTAGGGACTCCATGAGCCCAGTGGACAGGGTGGGTTTGCCCTGGCGATGGACAAGGCTCTTTGAGGGTGGCTGTCCAAGAGCCCCAGGCTGCAGCCCACAGGCGCCTCCCAGGGAGCCAGGCAGGGCTGAGCCTGAGCCCCACAGAGCAGGTCTGCCCCAAAACTTGGTGCCTAGGGAAGCTCTCCACGGTGGTCTGAGTGATCAGCAGCCGAGGGCTCGGATGTCTCTGGGCTGCCATGGCTGTGGTCACCAGTGCTTACAGCAGGTGGGGCCACAGACCCTCTCAGCCAGCCCAAGAGGCTCTGCCAGCTGCACCTTCACCCCAGAAACCTTTGCTCCCCACTGTGGCTCCAAGGGCAATTCAGCCCCATTCAGGGGTGTTTGGGGATGGCGCTCCCCCAGACCCAGGCTTCCCCCTGGCCCCACAGCCTGAGGCTCTGAGGCAACCTTTGGGCCTGGGCCTTGGTCTGGGGCTCACTGAGGCTGCCCCACAACTATTCTTGGGGACATACTTTTCTCTTCCTGTTGCCCAGGGATCTGGCTGGGCTCTCCTGGCCCCAGAAGCACACACTGGCCATGGTGGGCACAACTTGGGCTAGGGACCACACCTGGCTGGGCCCCTATAGGAGCAGTGCTTGGGTGGCCCTGCTGGCACAGCGATGGAGAGAAAGGGTCTTGAGGTCCAGAGCTGTGGCTGGGAAAGCCCCTCATCTCGGGCTCTCCTGCTTCAGCCAGGGCAAGGGCTTCATGTGTTCCCTGAACCTAGCCCCAGGGAGCCCTGGTCAGGTCACAAGTCTCCACAGCTCACTGCAGCCCTCTCTGGAGTCACAGGTGTCTGGTGGCCTGACATGCACCGCCTGGCTGACCGCATCCACCTGGAGGAACTGGCCCGCATCGGTGTCCTGAGCAGCAACATCGATGCCATGGTCCAGGCCCACCTGGGAGCCGTATTCATGCCTCACGGGCTTGGCCACTTCCTGGGAATTGATGTGCATGATGTGGGAGGCTACCCTGAGGTCAGTGTGGACACATCAGCCCAAGTGGCCTACCTGTGAGCTGTTGTTCAGCCTGATCCTCCCCAGGATGGGACAGGGCCGTGGGAGATGGCTGGGGTTTAGAGGGGCAGACAGGATGAGGAAGAAGGCCCCACCCCTCACCCATTGGTTGGGCCTGGCCCAGGCTGCTGCCACAGTGCTGCCCACCCCCAAGGGCCCTGGGCAATACAGGGGTGTCTCCATGAGTGTGCCCCCTCCAGTGGCCGCCTCCACAGCAGCTGGCACCAGATGGGTGTGCTCTGCACAGTGAGCCTGTGCTTTGCACGGGGTGTAGCACCTGCCCTGGAGGGTGGTAAGTGGTGAGGGGGCAGTGCATGGGATCCCAGCAAGGCAGTGGGATCCCCAAAGCTGGGTCTCAGAGCTCGGGCTGGCACTATGTACCTGTCATATCTTCCTGCCTCTGGTTTCATTCATACAGGGGTGATGTGGCTCCAGCAGCTGGTGGCTGGCCCTGGACCCCTCCTGGGACTAGTTGAGCCCAGTGCCCCTCATATGCCCAGCAGCAGACCCCTGCCCCTCCCTGGTGCCCTCTGCCCCCCAGATCCCTGAGTGAGCACACCCCTGTGGCAGCCTCATCTGCAAGCCATCTAGGCCCCCTCGGCAGGGGAGGGAGGCTTGTGGGGGCCTCTCCAGAAGGGCCTGTCCCCTCCCCCACCTACCAACTCTGCCTTGAAAGGACCACCCAGAGGGTGCTGGCCATGGCCTTCAGGAGGCCCTGCTGGGCAGGTGGCTGCAGCCTCTTCAAGCCCCCAGTGGGTGTGGGTGAGCCTGGTCCCCAAGGTGCAGGGGGCTGATGATGCAATCAGTGCATGCCCTGGGGCCCACCAGCCAGTTAGCCAAGACCTGGCTTGGCCTGTTGGCTGCAGGGTATTTTGAAAGCACTACGAACGATTTTGGGGGGGGTGGGAGGAGCGGGGAGCGGGAGTTGCTCAAGAGAAGCATTATTATTCAATTATTTTTTCCTCAAGTGTAAACAGTTAAATTTGGAGAAACAAAATCAGTTTTAATTTCCTAATTTCTATCCATCACATTGTGCACAGGGAGCCAAGAGCAGGGCCTTCCAGACATTGTTAACTGAGGTTCGTTATTCATTAGTGGCCAAACCACTTTTTTTCCACCAGAGAAAATTGGCAGCAAACTGTTTTTATCTTTTCCAGTAAGCAGCCCTTTGTGCTCACAGAGTCTACTCTTCTGACAGATAAACATTGTGGAAAAAATATGGCTTTTCCTATAAAAGTCATTTGTTTTATTTCAGGCCTACAGACATATCTGGGTCTCTCTGTTCAGAGCCCAGTAAGCTGAGGCCCTGTCAAGCCTTCTGTCCAGGCGGAAGCCTGTGTGGATGGCCTGGGCAGGCCCCCAGGCTCCCAACAAGGCCTAAGTCCCTGGGCCAGGGAGCGTGGGGGCAGGCCTCTCCCATTCTCGGCCCTGCTCTGGCTGTTTGGTGGACCCCATAGGGCAGACTCCAAAGAGCTAACACTCTGAGGGGTAAGGTCGGGCTGGGGCAGGCATCCCTTCCATTCTCCCCTCACCCCCAAGGTGAGTGGTGGTCCTAAAATTGTCTGGAGGGAAGCCTGAGCCTACACAGGCTTGAGCACACTGCCCCGTCCCCAGGCACAGCACCACTGAGGAGGACCTGGGAGGCATGAGTTTTTCAGGTCTCTGCCTCTGCCAGGCCCCTGATTTTGACAACCTTGGAGTGGAGAGAAAGGAACAGGCACTTAGATGGCGACATGAGGTAAGCGATAGGGAGTGCCAGCACAGGCACAGACCAGATGGTAGGGGCAGGGAAGTCCTAGAGCAGAGACCCCCCCCAATTCCCAGCTCTAACAAACAGCTTCTGAGAGGGGACAGGCCTTCCTCACAAGTACCTCTCACCCGAGCACGGGGACTATCATTCCAGACTGGCCCCTTCCATGGCCCCACCCTCCTGCCTTAGCTCTCCAGGCAAAAAGTATTGTGGGACCAAATACCACCCCAGACAGGTGTCTGCCCAAAGCATGACCCATCAGAGGTCCCAGGGCCTCAGTGTCCTCTCACCTGCATCCCAGCCTGGCTCACACCAGCTCAGGGTAGCTGTGCATGCCAGTTCCTAGGTGTGCCTGCTGTCCCCACCCTTGTGGAGTCACGGTCACAGTCTTCCCTGCTGTGCCCAGCCATGGAGGCTGAGCCAGCCTGTTTCTGGTTACCTTACATGAACCACTAATTGAAGTCTGATGTTCTTGGCCCCCAAACAGTCAGAAAAGACAGCTCCATCTCCAGTTGCTGGGCTTCCAGGGAAGAGCCATGAGCGGGGCAGGGCAAGCCCGGAACCTGACCAAAAATCTTGATCACTGTCCACTTGCTCATAGGCCTCAGTGCAGGACCAAATAGGTACCTTAGGGACCTGGGGAAGGCAGGGCAATTTCGGTAAATGTCCTAGGCACCGCTTGTTCTCATAGCCCACGCAGCCTGTCGGTTATACCTGTGTGAATGGACAGGCCTGGCCTCGGTGTGTACTTGGGGCGGGGGATGGGGAGTGAGGTGTCCTCTGCAGGAAGCAGCTACCCCTGCCACTCACTTCTTCTCAAGGGCTGGGAGCTTTACCCAGGGCTCAGCTTGAGGGCCCAGAGCACATGCAAGGTACAGAGCGCCAGAGTGTGCTCCTTGGGGCCCCAGCCCCAGGCCCTGCACACAGGGTGTGCATACATTTGTGCACATACGTGCCCGAGCTGGTGCTGGCAGGCCCATCCTGGTGACAGCACCTGCCCTTCTCCTGGAAGGCCACATGTTTTTTAGCCTAGGGGAGACAGGCCTAGCCCTCCTGGGGTCGGTTTCTACTTGAGTTGCCTGGAGGAAAAGGTGTAGCCTCCTTAAGAGCTTCTTCTTGGGTTTGGCTTCTGCGGTTCCCCTGCCAGGGAGAGGGCCTGGGTGAGGGAGCAGACACCCAGCCATCCCTATGCACCAGCACCAGGTGTCACGAGGCTCCTGCAGACAGTTCTGAGGGCAACAAGGGGCAGGGACACTCAAAATCAGGGAAGGATGGGGCACAGAGAGTGCAGGGTCTTACCTGAGGTGCCCATGGCCAGCACAGCAAGGATGAGTCAGGCCTAGAGACTGCCATGGTCAGAAAGCCTCCCCTGCAGCTCTGAGACCCCATGGGGCTGGAGCCAGCCCCCTCTGCAGATGCCTGCATGGGCAGAGCAGGGCTTGCTGCATGTCCCTTTGTGCCCATCTGCCTTCTGCTGTGGCAGTGGCCCTGGGCTGGAACTAATTGTCCCCCTTGGCCTAAGCCAGCCTGGGAGCCGCCAGTTGGGTCCTCCTCTCCCCATAGGGCGTGGAGCGCATCGACGAGCCTGGCCTACGGAGCCTACGTACCACTCGACATCTGGAGCCAGGCATGGTGCTCACCGTGGAGCCGGGCATTTATTTCATTGACCACCTCCTGGATGAGGCCCTGGATGACCCGGCCCGCGCCTGCTTCTTTAACTGTGAAGTCCTACAGCACTTTCGTGGTTTTGGTGGGGTGAGTGCCCATAGGCCCCACATCCTTGCTCCCAGAATGCCCAAACCCCTACATGCAGCCCACTGCTGCATGTCACCTCCTTGTCCCAGGACAGGAGCTCTAGTAGGAGGGACAATCTTGACTTCTCACTTGAGGAGGTCCTGGCTTGCCCTTTCTCATGATCTGTCACCGGACAGGTGTCCACAGAAGAAATGTTAATTCTACAAGACCCCTGTCCACTCTAGGGCATCCCATCTACTTGGCAAGGTGCAGGGGGCAAGGACGGGTGGCAGGTGGCACAAGCAGATGGCCCCAGGGGAGGAGCCTTCCTCTGCACAGTCACTCTCAGAAGCCTTGAGGCCGGTCCCTTCCATCCTGGGCAGTACTGACCGGTGTTCAGGGAGCCCTCCCTGTGGCTCCACCTAGAGCTGTCAGGCCTTAGCCTCTAATCTAGCACACAAGGCCAGCTCAGAAGTAATGGGTGTCATCTGCCTCAGGTCCGGATCGAGGAGGATGTTGTGGTGACTGACACTGGCATGGAGCTGCTGACCTGTGTGCCCCGCACAGTGGAGGAAATTGAAGCATGTATGGCAGGCTGCGACAAGGCTTTTACTCCTTTCTCTGGCCCACAGTAGGGCCAGCTAGGAGTGCCCAGTGGAACTGGGGACCCAACCTTGCAACCTCTTTTCAGGAAGGGCAGCCTGATTGGCCCTCCTGCTTTGAGCAGTGGTGCTTGGAAATCACATGCCAGCATCAACTTTTGACCATACCAGGTAGTGCTGTTTCCTAGGGGGAGAAACTTTGTTACCAACTTTCTGCACGATCACACCCTGAATATGCTCCTACCTTGCTTAAATGATTTTAAAATGCTAACTGAAATAGTTCTGTTCTTTAGTAGCAACTAAAATGTGTCTTGCTCTCATTTTGTATTCTGCTCAGGAAAGATCTATTTCCAGTGTTTTCTCACAAAAATCAATATGCAGAATGGAATTTGCAATAAAAGGTTTCCTAAATGGTTCTTTGTGCACAGCTCCCTCTATTCTTCAGCCCATTGCAGATGAGCACTGCAGGCTTAGACCTGTCACTACAGAGGAAATTGTCACTAGAGATCCCAGGGCCCAGGCAAGGTCACTGCTGAGATCCCAGGGCTCAGGCACGTAGGCACAGCTCTGAGACCACGCCTTTGCAAACGTTAAAAGGTGAACCCTAGGGTAAAAAGCCTTTTTGATATGGTTACTGCCTCAAAGGTAGGTATCTGAAGACGACAGAATTAGTAGCATAGTTACTTAAAACTTGAGATTTGCAAATTCCTTGTCCTTGATTTCCTTTTCATGCGGGACATGATAGCTGAGAAGCACTGCCGCCTAAGGCAACACCATGCATAGCAAAAGTGAGCTTTCTCCTTCCCTCCCTGTTTGCTGAGACCATTTGTGTTCCCTAAATATAAACCCACTGACCAAATCTCACTTTGAAACCGTGAGCCATCCTGGGCTCAGCTGGGCCAGGAGCTTGCCAGTGGCAGACTACCTGTCCTTTCCACTGCTTACCCAGTTCTCCCACGGCCCCACAGAACTGCCTCCACCCCTAGAGCCAGCTTCTAGAATTCTGTACACCATTCTAGGTTTGTCTCCAGTGCTCTCATCCAGGAGTTACCAAGCCAAGGTGAAGGGCAAGTCAGAAGAAAGGACATGAGAGGTGCAACCACGAGGGGAGGTGGAAAAACTGCGTGGCCCAAGATAGAGCCATTATAAGCTATCACTGAAGAGTTCAGTACAAATTGGTTTCTTCCTGTGGCAGTAACATGAAAGCACTTGTGACGTGGCCACTTTAAAATTAAACAATCTTAGTTCCAAATCACTATTTATCTTACCTGCTTTTTAGATGTATAACATCCATTTTTTAAGGTTTTCTGCTGGTACACAGATACGTTCCCTAAGTTATTCATGACATTGAGCAGTTTGTCAGGAGCTGGAGCTCGCCAAATATTTCTCTAACCCAGCTAGCTGTACCTGTGGTAAGCACGGTCTGGTGTATAGGGTTTCAATATTCCCACCCCCAGGAGAAAACCAGTTAAAGTTAGGCTGAAAATCTAAATGGGCAATTTATTTGTATTAAAAAATATAGCTGACTGCATCACCCATCGTTCTCCATTTCATATCAAAACTGTCCATTTCACATAAACATCTCTGATTACTAAGCAAGTAGATTAAAAAAATAGAACAAGAAATTACAGTAACTAAATGTTCTTTGTCCCAGAGGGGCACTGAGAACATAGCTAGGACTCCGATTTAGCCCAAGTCAGTGAGTCAAAGGGCATTCTTGGAAGGTGGTGTCAGGTGGCCAGCTACCTCCTGGACCCCATGCTCCAAAGGATTCTCCAACACCCAAGTCTCCTCCAACTTCTGCAGAAATTTAAACATCTTCAGAAATACACTCCAGAAAGCTGTACAGCACTATAAGCCTTTCCAAAACTCTGGCTAGTAGTCATTCAAAGAATAATTGAGCATCTGCTGTGTGCCTATGTGATGTAAAAACACAATCCCAGCCCTCAGAACCTTTAGTCTCCTGAAGAGGCTTCACCTTAAACATATGCAAATGTATTATCTCAAACATTGAAAAGTGCCATGAAGGAAAAGTGGCATGATCCATCTTGGCTAGAAAGCCACGGGGCTGAGACTGGAAGGGTTAAAAGTGAAAAGAGATGAGGCATTCCAGACATAAAGCGGCCCTGGAGTAAAAGAACTTGGAAAAGCCCTGCAGCCAAAGCAATGTGGGAGGGAGGGAGGGAGGGAGGGAGGGAGGGAAATTAAGCCAGGAAGATCAAATGGAGCCACATCACAAGAAGACTCCTGAAGAGTCTTTCACCCAGTGTGCAGTGGGGAACAGAACATTCTGGAGAGCATGCAGTAGTCCAGAGATCACGTCCAGGCAAGAGACGATGGTGGCTTTGCATAAGGTACATGATCCAGACACATTTAGAAGGCAGAACTGAAAGGTAGTGATGCGGAAAGGCATCTGGCTTTAATTGCTGTTGCAGAGTAGCAAGACTGGGTGTTTGGGCTGCAAAAAAAGCATAAAATGTGACTCCTCACTACCAAAACATTCTCTGACAAGACCACCTTTACAGCCCCAGTTCCTGTAGACACTGCTGCTTACCTTTCAGGCCAAGAGCTGTGAGGAGTGGGGATGTTGCAGTAGAAGGATATTGAGGGTTGGTGTTCTCTGGGCAGATGTAAAATGCATACCAACTCTTCAGATACAGGCAGTGAAAAAGCAATAGGTCTAAAAGTGCTTTTATTAAAAAAAAGAGGTGGCACCTTCACAAATCATCTCTATATAAAGTTCCCCAAGACAAGTTATGGAATTCTAAATTATAACTGATTCACAAAAATGAAATGGGACACACTACTCGTAGAAATAATTACGAACTGTTTTCCTTAAGGAGCAGTAAGTAGAAATCTATCTCCCAAGACATGAAAATAACATGGATCACAGGAGAAAGTATTATCAGCTCCTCGGACTACTTTTTAATGCATTTCTGTAGATTTTCCATGGCATCATGTAATGAGGTACATACTATAAATTGTATTGTTTGGAGAAAGGCCTTACTTCAACATTCCAGACACTCCATCTCAAAGCATAAACTCACCTCCCAGCACTCTGGTAAATGGAAACCATACAGACACGAAGTGACTAAGCAGAAACGCCAATTACTGCTTTCTCTATTCCAGTACACATTTCTAGATCAGACCAAGTGATAAAGAATGTAACTAAAGAGACACTCTATATGCAAAGAAAATGATGCCCCATTAAGGGAAATCTAGACTTGGATAAAAGCTACCTCTGCTTGTCCCCTCACCCCCACTTCACCCCTGCTCTGGGCTAGGAACAGGAAAGACAGCAAACAGAGCATCTCCCTGCTCTTCAGAGCTGTTTAACATTTAGACTGCTTTCTTGGTATCTAACATAAAGAAACCCACAATGAAATAGTCTTTATTCCAAAGTTTGTTTTTATTTCAAGTTCACTGAAAGAAATAAAATAATGTTTAAAAAAATAGAGTAATCTCACAAACTGAGGATAGCCAGGAACACAAAGAACAAGTGTATTTCCTGAGAGGCAGATCTAACAGCTGTAGAATGGACTTCCTCTTTCCTAGCTTTTGTCAAACCAAAATTTTTTCCTATTTCTAAGGCATCAAAAAGCACTCTGAGTGCCAAACAGGGTTGTTCAGGTGCAGTTTCAAGCCCTCAAATGGGGATTAAAAAAAAAACATCAAAAGGTGATTTTCCTTAATACCAAATATTAAATATTAAATTTTACACACCTCTACTTTATGTGAATTTGAGAATTTCACACTCGTGACCTGAATTTTGAAAATCTGGTCATATATTTCATTAAAATCTTACTACTTCTTAGTAAGAATGTCCAAAGTATCTGAGCTCGCATCTAAATCACTGAAAGGAGCTAGACAGCATGAAGAGTGGCTTAGGTCTCACTACCTGCAGCCAAGACCAGTCAGAAAGCACCCATCCTGGGAGACTCAGATGCACCTAGAAATTTTTATTAAAGCCTAATTCCTAAACTACTGGACCTGCCAGCAAAGCAGATCAAACCCTAATGGTTCATACATAACCTACAGAGCAAAAGTTACAAAAGTCTTTTTACAATTCCCAAAGGTCTAAATTTACCCATTCCCCCTACTTGGTTTCCCTCAATTTTATATTGGTAAAATCTGTCAAACTAAAAACTTTCATTCCCAAACTCTTCAGTAAGATCGGGACAATGGTTAACATTTTTGTTCTATGCATAAATGATCGCTTTTGCTTAAGTTTAGGTTTGCATAGGTAATTGGAGAGTACAAATCAATTGTTCCAGAAGTTCCAGTCTTACTTACATTATGATTTGAAATATTGAATACACATCCCAGTGATTTCCTAAAGCTTCTTTTCCAAGAGAGTTAAGTCACTTTGTTTGGTAACCATAAATCCACGGGGACATCAATTTCTGGAATTTCTTTTGTAGTAAATAAGAAATTAAAATGTCCGTAATACCTCTTATAGATGCTTAACCATTCGAGTGACCTATCTGCATCTCCAGTTAGGTTAATTATATAACATCAAAGAGCTATTAAAGATTCAGTGGGAATCTGTGGTATCTCCTAGTTATTCAAAACATCTATTACCCCATAAGTAGATCAGTACTCCAACTGAAGTAAACTGGTGTTGGATCCTACTAGAAACCCCTATCCTGTTTCCTGGCTCCATTGGGAGTTAACCCTCCTGGGGCAGCAGTGCTCAGGTCACAACACACTGGGTTCCTGCCACATGCAGAAGGCATTCATGGCCTTGATAATGGTTTTGCTGAGTTGCAGGGTGCTGTGGTATCTCCTCCTGCCCAGGAAACAGAACAAACATTACTCTCCCACCAATCTAAGTGTGCTACTTGAGTTACATCCTGGTTACACTGTCCCAGGTTTTAGTATGAAACAATGTGACCAGCAAATGACCATGTTCAAATGATACCTGGTAACACAACTATTGAGTCAGACACGACTCAGTCTTATCACCAGCCCAGGTACAAGAAAAACAAAACAAAAACACCACAAAGCCAACAAATCTGAGCTAGAACTGTGCTAAGAACAATCAAAACTACCAACACTGACATAAGCAAGACTCTAGAGATTCCTGACTTTGGTAACTGCCATTTTTTAGTCTCACAAAAAGTCAATATCCTGAGTTTTATCAGTATTTTCTTTCTAAAATAATTTATGGGACAAAAAAGGCATACAAGCGAATAAACAAGCAGTGATACAAGTCTGGAAGAACAGCCCACCAACTAGAAAAGAACAATAAAAAACAATACAAAAAGATGTATTAAATGAAATAAATTAAAGGTTAAACCTTAAACTTTCAAGTTTCTTAGACTACTCTTTTGGGAAATGGCATGGAGTTGATGTATTTTTCTAATAATCAGCTGGTTGAGATCAAATGCCAAATGATCTTTAACAAGAAAATTTTGCCTTTAAAAATCAAGGCTGCATGGCAGATATTTGAACACAGGAGAAACTACCTACTGAAATTAATATTCAAAATACTAATCAGCTTGTGTGATCAAACTGTTATGACTTTTTTTTTTTTTTTTTA